TCCAGATGGAAGCGGAGAGAAACTGCCTGGAACTGGAAGGACTACGTCCACAAATGCCAAGGGGCGGTGTACAGGAAGTCTGAGTGCTGGCTGCCAGAGGATTGCGTAGTAGAGTAATTACTACTTCTTTTTCCATCTGTAGTTTCCCTCAGTCTATAACAGAAGTTTGCAAAACTCTAAGAGCATGGAGGCAGAAGGCAGAGAACTCGTTTGGACGGTACTGACAAGCTGTTTTATGTTGTAGAGGTGCACAAACCAGGAGAGGACACAACACAGGGGACGGTCAGGAGAACAACCAGGAGCTACAGCCACTGAATGAGGAAAACACACACAACATTAACACTAACAATATGGAAACACTAAGAACAGCAGGTCTACACCACCAGAACAGTCTGTTCTCTGACCAGCTACGAGGTGAAAACATAGGAAAGGATGAAGGATTTTCATCCATCCAAAAAGGTTTTTAACCAGGTGGCTCCAGAAAAACAGCTTTTATTAAAAAAAAAAAGACAGATTACACAATGAGCTCCGCTCATTTTATTAACGTGGAAAAATATTTTCCATGAAATGAAGCTGAAACATTACACCCAGAGTTTCTGTCAGTGTAACAGTGATGAGCCAGTTGTTCTCCTGACTGCTGGAATCTTAACATAAACAATTTCTTTTTTTTATATTCTTGATTCAAATGCGGGACGTTGCTCCGAGGTTCTTCTTAACATTAGGTTGTTGTGGACAGGCCACTCAGGCCCTTTGGCCTGACGGGTTTAACTCTCATCAGTTTAAGACTTATATTCTTACTAATGAGGTTATGTCTTTGGTTCAGTGTGTGTGTATTGGTTAGCAGGATTATGGTCAAACGCCTCGACGGATCCTCAGCGTACCTGGCTGAGCCGATCCAGATCAAAGGTTTAGGACATTTTGTGTCGTCCTAGATCATATTTTTCACAAGGTGGAGGTGCATGTGCTCTTTGAGTGCTCTGTTGTGTTACTGTATAGTGGTGCTTTGGTGTATTTGCCACATTTTGTTTATATTGTCCCGTTTAACACAGCAGTATTTTTAAAAGTACTACTATATATAAAATGTATAAATGTTGTTCATCTTTTTTCAGCGGTGAAAAGTAACTGCATTTACTCAAGCACTGTACAATTTAGTTTATGTACTTGAACATTTTCACTGTGTGCTACTTTATACTTTCCACTACATTTAAAAACAAATATTGTGCACTTCATTTGTTTTATAACTGATAATGTGATTAATGAAACAAAATACATCAGTGAAAAAAATGCAGTAAGACTGTGATATTTCAGTTTTTCTTTTTTTAATAAATCTGCAATAATGTCAAACATTCTGTGTTTTTCTGTCAATATGGGGTGCTGTGTGTACATTAATGAGGCTGTTGTATTGTTACTTTGAAGTGAAGGTGCTGAGCACCTCTCCTTTTAAACTGTTATTCTCAACCTAAACTGCACAGCCACATGTTTTGTTAGCCGTGAAACATCTGGATGCAGAGGTTGGGATGTGATGCTGTGACTTGAAAGGTTTTTATTCATCTGCTCTGAATGTATCTGACAGTGGTGGAAGCCTCCATCTCCTGTCTCAACAAAAAGAACAAGCGAGAAAAGATTGTGTTTTTATTGACTGTGAG